ATTTGTCTTTGAAATGTAGTGGAGTAAAAGTAAAAAGTTCCCAAATAAATAACTACTCAAGTAAAGTAAAGATACTCAAAAAATGAACTTAATTACAGTAATAAAGTAAAAGTACTTTGTTACTGTCCACCACTGGTCTTGTGGGCCTTGGTTACCTGCTCCTCTCCACCTCAGAATGATTGGGTCTACCTCCTGGGTTCGGGTGTGTGCGGTCTCCATTAGGGGGTGGGTGCATGTCCTGGACCTGGGGGGTATAGAGTGTGTATCGGGGGTATGAGTGGAATGTGGCGTACTTGTATGTCTTTGATTGAGTTGGGGTGAGGATGAGGGTGGGATGGTGCAATTGGGTATGTTTGGGTATTTGTCAGGCTGCGGTCTGGACTGCCCCTACTGCTGGTTTATCTGGGGGCCCGCTGCTACCCGGCCCCCAGGTGGGGTGTGCGGCTGGCCGCCGGCATGCTGGGGGTTCCTGGAGTCTGGGGCTGGGCGCTGGGGTGTGTGCTGGCCTGGCCTGGTGACTACCTGCTGGGGCTCGGGGCCTCTGGACCTGTCGGGTTTTGGCCTGGAGGGGGTGAGCCCTGGGGGCCCGGACCTCTGTGCCCTTTCCTGGATCTGCTTTGGTATGGTGGGTGCCGGTGGGGCCCATGAGTTTGTCGCTGCTGGCCCCGGGGGGCTGTGCGTGTGGTCGCTGGGGGGACTCTCCCAGTTCTCCCCTATGGTCTGATCTGTGGGGGGGGGGCTGATCTTCCCGTGCGGGTGCCCCTTGGGGCTCTGCGCTTGGGATTCCTCTCAGGTCCTTGGGCTCTGGTCTTCCCTATGTCTGCCTCGTGTGTTGGGGGTTGGGTCTCGGTCCTCCACAGTCACTATTAAATATTCCATTGGAGAAATCTTGTATATACACGCATGTTCACAACTGCTCACAAACAGGTGCTCTGATCCGGGGGGTTCTGACAGATCACTGAGCGTGTATATATGTCTGTGTGTACATACTGACAATATTTATGAATGTAGGCATGTACGTATGTACTGTATATCTTTATATATGTATGGGTATGTGTATATCTTTATATATGTATGGGTATGTGTATATCTTTATATATGTATCGGTATGTGTGTATTTTTATATATGCCCTCTATGTATTTATCCATTTATTTTTCAGGTGAGCGGACAGATGTTGGGTGTGTGGTCCTGTGTTTTGTTGGTGTAAATTTAATATGCTTCTAATCGCAGTTTCAGTCTTTCTATCTTTCTAATCACTTCTCTCTCTGTTTTTCTCTCTGTCTCTATTTTCTCTTCACTTAAAAAAGTCACTGATGATGAAGTAATAAATAAACTAAATAAACTAATATTTAGTTTCATTTTCTACTGAAGTGACAAAAAAAACTTGTGGATGGATTTCCTGATGCATCTCAGTAATCCAGGTAGAAAAAAATCAAAAAGAAAAAGGGTAGAAGCAGGGCTTATAAGGCTGAGTTTCAACTGAAACTCTTCAGACTGAAGAAGTCTCTTGGAGGAGAGACGAAACGTTTCACTAAAGAAGAACCCATCCAGAGGACCTACCGTACTTATTTTTCTTTTTGATTTTTTTCTACCTGGATTACTGAGATGCATCAGGAAATC